ATTTGACTTCTAAACAGTATTTTCGGTTTTTCTTGAAAACGCCACCTCCTATCGACTTTGGACAAGAGGGCCTTTTCTGGGTAAAATTGAATGCTCTTTCATATTTTTCGAAAACATTTGGAAAATATCAAATCGGCTATACTTTTTTTTATAAAAATATGCATAGAGACCCCTCTATCTCCACCACTGGAACTAATATGCGATGATTTTCTGTGTCAAATTATTTGCCCTCAAATACTAAGTCTTTCGCCGCAACATGATGATTTTTTTTGTCAGCGGTTATTTAGTTAAAAAATAAATAAATAAAACAAAAATAAAATTGAACGCCCTGTATCTCAGAAACGAAGCGTTTTAGGACCCATATATATAGGAACTTTTAGACTCAAAATGAGGTCTTCTACTGATTCCTGAAGTCCTGCTATTTAAATGTGAGACACCCTGTATATATATATTAATAATTTGCCGTGTTATAGAATATTTTTAATTGAACTGAACTTAGAATTATATATGAGTAGAAAAATAATAAATCTAACTCGAGGTGAAATACATATTTCGTTTGTGAACTTGTCCCACTCACCGCTAACGTGGCTTTTGTTCAGTCACGAAGAAAACGACTTTTTATCTTTTATTACGTCTTGGATGTAAACAGTTTCTACGCTTTACAGATAAAAAATATTCGTTTTGGCATGTGACAGGTGTCATGGAAAAGTCAATTCGAAAAAAACTTGTTTCAAGAAGTAAGCTTTGTTGGACGTTTGCGTTACTCACATTTTGTCGGATTTTGCTTCTAGTAACCGCTTATATACAGGGTTTCCCGGTACTTGATACAAAAAAGTCGAGTACAAATAGATGAGGTCAAAATAATATCAGTTCTTCACGGACTATGCCCAATGGTTAACAACCCAGAATTTTTGCATAGATGACGATCGCAATCTACCTGTATCAAAATTAAGTTCCCTGAAGAAGTTGCCATCGATAATACCCTCTTGGTTCAACTCGATAAAATTAACAGTTTAGGAAATATTTGTGATTTTATGTCACAGTAGTGCACATGGAGCGGCACTACCCCAGTACAGTCAAGGGATGAATTGCTGCAAAGAATTAATTTCCAACCAACAAATAACATTCGTAAACTTAGAAAGTATGTGGGGGTGGAAGGTGCCCATATTAAAAATGTATTTTGATAGTTTTCTTTCTTTTAACTATTATTTAAACTTTAACTTATTCTTGCTTTGTTTTTCTATTTTGTGTTATGTGTAAAGTGTGTATGTCAAATTGTGTTAGTGACAATTACATTAGCAGACAGTAAGATTTTCTAGACTCTTATTTTAAAAATATGTTCGGTTGACTTTTTTTAAGAGAAATAATTCATAACATAACATTTATGTAAATATATCTAAAAATATTTAACGTAGACTCCAATTAGAGGTAAAAATTCATTAAATTTTTATAGAATTATGTCAACCAATGATAAAATTGCTGAGAATGTCACAGAATTTCAACACCACTAAATATTTTGGAAATTTTATTGGTAAATTTGGTTTGTAATGGTTTTTCCAAGAAAAGTGTTCCCAGAATTCTCTACCATTTGATTCGGAAACCGTTATTATTTTTACAGTCGCAAATGATATTTTCGATTTAATCAAATTTTGAGTTTTCGCGCTGAAGAAACTAATTTTATAAAAGCAGCTTCATGTAACGTGAGCTACTATTTTATAAAAATGTGCTATTCGAAGAACGTAAGAACTAACAAACTATTTCGCAAACCTCCTTTTTGACTTTTGTCACCATTTCCCATTCTTTTTTATTGGACTTGCAGAAGTTCTGAAATTTCTTCTTGCAAGTATATAGCCAACCCTAAACCCAATTTTTTCAGTAACTAATAAAACACAATGATGTCCACATCATTTGATATCTGTATCCTTGAGCATTGTATACTTTGTTGAAACTGAATATTCAGAAAAATTTTCCTCCAGATGCACCAGTGTACAATTTTTAGTTGTTGTGCGAGTTTCAAAGTTAAACAATTGAATATTGGCTGTTTTACAGATTTTAAGCACTCTTTTGGCTTATTCGTGAAAACTTGGAACAACATGTAAACTGTAGTTGTTAAATATAATTACATACTTTAAAAAATAGAAGTGGAAACAATCTCATTAAAGTTTTAAATTCCATTTATATAATTGTATGTATCATATTTCAGTAGAAGAATTATTTATTTGAAAACTTACTGGAAATAAGAACCCTTGTGCGATGGTAATGAACTCTTTTTAAAGAAGAAATAATGATGTTTACAATTTAAGATATCGATATATTTAACAATGTCACCAAAGAAAATTTTAGTTAACTTTTCAATTTACTCAACTGGGAACTGTTATTTATTGAAGCAGTTTATATCGAACGTTATGCTATATATATACCATCTCCTAGATGTATTCTAGGAAACGACCCGATGTCATTATTATGTCCATAATATCTCCTGGTCGTGAGCCGTCTAGTTTTCTTTTTCTCTCGGAAATGTAGAAGCTGGGGAAGTCATTCATGAAATAAATTTAGTTTGTTTGTTTCGCGGCCGTTGCAAATCGTCTTTTGTATTCTCTGTAGGACAGAACAATGGAAAACTATATTAAAGCTTGTAGTTTTTGTGCAAGTTTCATTAAGTCGATTTTTATGTATCTCGAGTCTTAGCTGAAATGAATTGTAGGGCATTATTTTTTTATATTAAAAATACGCCGCTGACAAATTTAAGTTACAGTTTGTGCTTGTCTTACGTTTAATTAAGATATTGTTAAAGTCCCATAATTTGTATAATGCCCTACAAATTATATTAATTTAATTAAATTTGTTTTTGGTCACTTTGGGCACATGACATAATCTTTTCCCCTGTACAGTGTGTTTCAACTATAGGACCACCCATGTAACTCGTTTCATATTATTGTTAGCATGACATCGCACATTACTAAAATGGACAATATAATGAACTTGTGGGTACACATGTTGCAACTGACCCATTTTTAAGTACAACGAGACGCCGCGCCGCCCGGACTAGGGTTCCCGGAAGACGACCCCGACAGATTGGCGCCAAGGACCAGATAGGTACTTCTGCCAGCGACTCCTCACGAGGAGGGACTCTCCAGTAAACAGTCGTCCCGCCAACACGTCTTTTTCTATACAACTTAGTTTTCAATAAAATACTTTATTATTCCCGTTGAGAGAGCGTTTTATTCTTGCTGTATAGCGAAAGCAACCCTCAAACTAATAACAAATAGTTTTTCTGTCGTTTCCGATTTAGCGCACAAAAGAAATTTTTATAAAAATCACTTGGTTATAATAATGATAAAAGTTTCATAACTGAATACTGATTATTATTAACCAAAAATAGAGTCGAATTTTATGAGGGTAACTTTGTATATTCTGCATAAAATACGTGCTGAAAATTTGAAAATAAGCATTGTGCGCCTGTCACACCATCGGAAATGGATGTCGCTTATCCCTTTTAATGCAAAAACTAATTTCCTGAGCCCACCTACCGTCAGGAGCTGCGTTAGGCCCTCATGGCTAGCTAAATCTCTTTCGATATATATTCTTTCTGCTTAATTAAATGCAATTAAACACACTTGGTGGTTTTGGGGAGCGCCACAGGGAATTGGGATTAGTTTGATATCCTTCAACCTTAACTGTATTAGTATACAGTTCAGGAATATCGACAGGCGTTCACTTCATCATAAGGGGTGTATAGGGGAAGTTTTAATATTTTCTTGAGGAAATTTTATTTAGACACTTAGAACGTGTCGGTGTTTGCATTTTTTATTTTTTTACTTACTTACTACTTAATTAAAATGATTGACAGATAAATTAATCAAATTTTTGGTAATGACATTTACATTCCAGATTGTTTTTAATTAAATGCAACGTTTACAATAAACTTTTCCTATTTATATTTTCAGGAACTAATCCTGGATCACAACCTCATCGAATTCATCTCGAACAGGGCATTCGACGGCTTACGTTTCTTAAAGACGATATATTTAAGTAACAACAGGCTATCGAGATTCCCAGCTGGACTCTTCACCAGTGTTTTCACCCTCTTCAATCTGGATATAAGCCACAACAGGTTGGAGACTCTTATTTTCGACTCCATAGAACAGCTCTACAACAATCTGATACATAATGGCACACTCCGACTCAAAGGTAAGTGATCAGTAAAAATAACATACCTACCTGGAATTTGCCTATTTAAAGATAATAATTATTGGAGTTGCTGTAATTATTATTAATTAGAAGACAATGAATAATAATTATACGTGTTATATTCATGCTTGTTGCAACATTTTTAAGAATATGCTCTTTTTACTTAGATTTACTTTGAAGATTCAATAAAAATATTAGATTGAACACACGTGCGTAAAACAATAAAGATTTTAAGCAATATATTAACCCACAATCCCAACGATTGTATGTAAAAGTTAGGCAAATATTTATTTAGTTGGTTCTACCAACCTTGAGATTTAACTTGCAATAAATTACGTCCATAGAACTGTACAGGGTTATTCATATAACATTTTACCCCCATTACCTTTTTTATTTTTTGAGTTAGACAAAAATAGTTAAAATAAAAGTTGTAGGGAATCTTTCTGTGAGTTTAATGAGTTTATGAAAATAGATATTATACAGGGCGTTTCAAAGATACAAACGAAATTTGTATTTTTAAATAGAACACCCTGTATATTATTCGATTTTCGGAATCTCTGCCTCTTCGTGATTCTAACAATGTTGTAGGTTTACGTAACAATTTACTCGATATTCTGCTTTGAAAGACTGAATCTGGTCATGAACAATAAATATCAACATCGCCATGTAGAATAAATATGTTCTCATAGAACCAAAAATTTGACAGATGTAACACTACTGTCAGTACTCATTTGAAAATGGTGTATAACTTTTACAGTGTTGATGAAAAAAAATGATATTGTTTAATGCTATCTTTCTTGTGAGAAGAATGCCATGCTCACTAGGACTAGACGCGAGTCTGCACGAAAATTCCCCGCAAGGCGCATACCTCATAAAATATACAGGGTCGGAAAGTCCCCATGGTTCATCGGCCGTTACGTGAGAGCGATAAAGTAAGTCATAGAAATCCGTGGGATAGAGAAAGATGGCTATAATGAAGGTGTCTAATAGTCACCGCCCATTTCGCCCTTCCACAAACAAGATGTGGAGTTTTTCAAAGCAGAATAATGAGCAAATTATTAACTAAACGCACAATATATTATACATTGTTGGAATCAGGAAGAAGCAGAGATTCCGAAAATCGAAAAATATACAGGGTGTTCCATTTAAAAAAAAACATAAGTTTGGTTCGTATCTTTGTACATTTTCTATTTTCATAATCTCACTAAACTCACATCAAGATTCCCTACAATTTTTATTTTAACTATTTTTATCTAGCTCAAAAAATAAAAGGTTAAGGGGGGTAAAATGTTATATGAATAACCCTGTACAAGTCCTCTTTCCTCTGAATTTAAAGTACCGAAACAAGGAACGCGAAGCAAAAACTTGGGTACATTTTGATGGACTAGGTAAAACCTCTGGCCACATATATCAGAATTTACTGAAGTTTTCCCTTATACAAATAAATTTGGTAGAATATCCATTCCGGATTTGGGACACCGTGTGTGTATATCTATTGGAACTGGCAAAGCGGCTTTGGCGAATCAAACCCTAATTCGGGCTCCCTTCTAAAATGGCAGCAATTTTTTAGAGTAGGACAATGAGGTTGTAAACGGATTGAGGTCGGAGAGACCGCCAAACTGTGGAGAATGCTTAGCTCAGATCGCATAAAGATTTTCTGTCCGGTTGCCAATTTAAATCTAGCGCTTTCATTTTCTTGGGGCTCATCTTGTGGGATCTACAGCGGTCTCAGTGAAAAGTGCAACGACGCGGCGGATTATTCAAATACCTTACTTAAGTTTTTTAGATGGACTTGCTTCGCGATGCCTGGGAATAAACACGATGTGTGGGGAATAAAAAATTCAGGAGACATATTTCTCTGAAGGAAAGTTACATCGGGCGCATTTAAAGTGAACCATGACAACGTTAGGTTACGGATAAGAGGAAGCAATTCAAAATTAATGAATCCTGATATATTGAGACTTTTCAACATGTTCTCTTCAATGGAAATATAACCGACTTCTGGTTCCTTATAGTTACATTGAAAATAGATATTTATTTCAAATGAACTGCCAAACATACATATTTTTGCATATTCGGAATTAGTAAAGGGGGAGGGTATATTAGACCGGTTTCAGCCCTCTTCATTTTTGGCCAAAAAAAAGGAAGAATTTTTTTTATTATTTATATCCAGTAACTAATCGATTCCACCTCAAACGGGAACTCCCTCCTCGTTCCTAGTCCGGATCAAGGTCAATTAGAGGTCATTGTCAAAAGTGCATTAAACCAAACGATCTCGGTATTTACGTTTTTTGGGTCGCTGAGTCCGAATCGGAGGTTAGTTTGTCTGTATCAGGTCATTTCAAGGTTGTTTCAAGGTCATTGCACGATCAAATTGAGAAAAATCCGAGCGAGCAAGTCCAACCACCTGTTATACAGGCTTTTGTGGTTGCTGGGTTAGAATCCGAGGTTAGTTTGTCTGTATCAGTGCATTTAAAGGTCGTCTCAAGGTCATCTCAAGGTCACATTGGAAAAACTGAGCAATTAAATCTAACCGCCTGTTAGATAGGTTTTTGGGATAGCTGAGTTCGAATCCGAGGTCAGTTTGTCTGCATCAGGTAATTTGAGGGTTATTTCAAGGTCATTTAAAGGTCATACCAAGAAAGAACCAAGAAATCGATTACCGTCTCTGAGGTTGAATTCAAGGTCCAATTATATGACGATTTGGTTCTCTACTACTTGATTTGTGTCGATTAGCTTAACATGAACCGTAGGTAAGGAGGATTGGACAAGTTTTAGGTCAAGAGATCACTGATGTGAAACCCATGCAAACTCCTACAACCTTTGTACAGGTCATTTTTGTGTCAAATAAGTAGTTTTAGATAAAAGATCTGCTCATTTGCTCCTTCAGATGAACTCGCCTAAATCTTGCGTAACTCTGTTTAAACTCGAATGATTTTAATAACCTATTTTTAGTACAAACAATTTTAGCTTCGGTCGAAAACAGAGGGGTCTGAAATCGTCCCTCACTGACCCTACCAGAAGTCATTTTTATCAAATCAACCTTGGAATAACCTTGAACCTTTATTAATACATAGAAATCGACCTCGGATTCGGACTGAGCGACTATGAGAATGGTAATTGATTCCAGGGTTTATTCCATAAATTAACTTTCAAATGACTTTAAAATGGCCTTCAAATGACCCGACACAGATAAACTGACCTCAGATTTGAACTCTGCAACTCCAAATACGTGTATAACAGGCGGTTAGACTTAATTGCATGGCTTTTGTCAACTTAACCTTGAAATGACCTTGAGACGACCTTCAAATAACCTGATACAGACAAACTGACTTCGAATTCGACCTCAGCGACCTCAAAATCCTGTATAACTTGTGGTCGGACTTAATTGCTCGGTTTTTTCTCAGTTTGACCTTGAAATAACCTTGAAACAACCATAAAATGGCCAGATACAAACAAACTAACCCAAAACACCTAAACTCCGAGATCCTTTGATTTAATGCACTTTTCCTCAATCTGACCTCTAATTTACCTTGATCCTGACTAGGAAGGAGGGGGGAGGTCCCATTTGGGGTGGAATCGATTAGTTATTGAATACAAATAATAAAAAATATTTTCTTTTTTTGGACAAAAATGAAGGGGGTCGAAATCCGGCCTAATTGACCCTGCCCCTTTAGATATAGCATAGTGAAACGTTTTAGGAAATATTTATTATTTATTTAAAATTTTGACAGTTGAAATATGGGTATTTTCAAGGGCCCAAATGTGGGTATTATAAAGATTATGCGTAAATATAGCTTTACCTATAACCAACACTTCCGCTGTAAATCGGGATTTTTTTTGCAACAACCATTAAAAAAAATTTACTCTTAAGGGGTAGACTGTAGACAGCAATACTTGGGACCCGTTGGACGTGATAGGGATAGAATTGGCGTCACATATCGTACGCCACGCTGTTGAATGCGATAATATAGCGAACTGCTGGACTAACTTTTTCCCGCTTATTCACGGCTTTTCTTCCACGTTGTCTAAAATTTGTTGTTTGCTATTTGATACGCGTTGTGGGTAAACATGAAAGCCGTCTTGTCCACGGTTTGAGCGTAAATTTCCAGCAAAATCACTGCTGTAAATGTTTTGTGATGAGGCACGTGCCTATTGGGAAATCTTTGGGCATAAAAGCGAGAAGCAGCTAACGAGTTCTGCCTTGCTTCTACATACGCTAAAACCACATCCATCGTTACTATACACATGCCATTTTTAATGAAATATAATAAAATAACATTTTATACTTTGTACTGACCGTCCACTGAGGATAAAGATACCCTAGAATGGCTTTTCACAGGATCTGGTACTTTTTTGGAATTTGTTTTTGTCACTTATTTTACGCAGTTTTTATTTGAACTTGTAGCTTTAACGATTTGTATGTATGTTGCTCATTTTCTGTTGCAACTTTATTATAAATTTTTTGACAAATCAACTTTTTGTTTAATTGTTAATGTAAAATATCCAGGAATAATTTTATCTTTTTATATTAAATATCATGACAGTAAATCAAATTTTCAATTTCTCAATAATAAATTTGCATTATTTGATATATTTTATTATGGGTCTTAAATTTAAAGGTTAAGGCAAAATAACTTTAATAAATGTTATAGTTGTATCAGGGAAACTAATCTATAAAACGATCCTTTTCGTCGATATCTGTTTATTATTTTAAATTCTGTTCCAAATATGGTTATTGAAGAGCTGGTATCTACACCAATAATTAAATTTTACATATGAATAAAAGATCAAGTAGATCAAATACCTTCAACGAGTCTGGAGCAAAGTGCAATAGCTTTTCTACTATTCAGGTTTCTAGGAGAGATTCCGACATGAATAATTAAAATCAGATTAATTGGCGTTTGTATCTTTTCAAGTATAATGCTCCTCTTCATTTCCACATTCTATTCCAACTGCTGCACATGCACGAACAATATTTCTGCTCCGATTTCACCGAT